ATTTTTTATTTCTATACTACTTTAATCTACAATTACACTAATTTATGTATATTATTATAAATATATATATAAAGTTAAATATGATTTTCTATCCATCACCAATTACATTTACTATATATATATATATATATATATGAGTATTAAACTAATGGCTTCTACAATGGTTAAAAATTTTATACAAAATATGAATATTGGACAAAAAATATTTTTAATGTATTTAGTTAAAATAAATATATATATATATGTATGTCTATATATAATATAAGAAATTTTTGTTTTTTTTTTTTTCCATAAAGAAATTAATAAATGAATATTATATGAAAACTAAACTAAACAGCAAAAATAAACAATTACTAAAGATATATAGCAGATAAAAATTAAAAAAAAAAAATAAATAAAATGTTAATGAAAACAATTTTATAAAAGGATAAATAAGGTATACATAATATTATGGAATTTTGCGTGGGGGGGGGGGGGGTGGGGGGCGGGGGTGTGGTATATATATGGGAGACAAATTTGAATATAACAAATGTATAGAATACAAAAACAAATATTACTTAAATATATAAAATTTATAATTGATAATAATAAAAGGAAAAATATAAAAAGTGTATATAAAAAGATTTCTAAATATTACTTACAAAATTCAGTTTTACAGTGAAGCGGTGAAAATTTTTTTTTTTTTTGAAATTATTTTACAGTTTTTTTTCGAATTAATTTTGAGTTTATTTTGAGTTTTTGGTTTTTTTTTTTTGTTCATCGTTTCAAATTCAATATTTGGATTTTCGATAAATTCATGTTTTTATGATAATATGATGTTGTATACATAAATATATATATATACATATATATTTATTGATATATACATATAATACATATGTATAAAATAAATATAAATCGACCATTTTTGTAATTTTGTTTTCGTTTTTATTTTCAATTAATTATTTTATTTTTTATGATTGTTTTTTACAATGCACAAGATAAAAAATTATAGGTTATGTTTTTTTTTTTTTGTAAATTTTATTAAAATATTATTATATAACAGAGAGATAAGTACGATAATGATGCGATTATTATTATATTATTTTTATTTATTATTTCGATATTTAAAATATGTTAAAAAAAAAATATCGAAAATATTTTTGTTTTTGGCATTCATTTAAAAAGTTTATATTGTTTATTATTTTTTTTGATTTTGTTTTTTTTCGTTTCATAAAATTTTTTTTTTTGTATTGTAAGTTTTGTTGCAAGCCACAGCCGACAATGAGATACACAAGCCGAAATATATAGAGAAATATTAACATTAAAATTAAATGATGCAAAATTATTAATTTTTTTTTTTGATTTTATATTAAAATTTTTAATATAATAATAAATTTAGAGTATACATTTAGAGAGAGAGAGAATATAAATATAGAAAATATTTTTTAATAAATATATAGATATAAGATGTAATAATATATGAAGTTGAAAATAAAGTGAAAATTAAATTTTGTTGAAATAATAGAATTAAAATTGAAAAAAGAAAAAAAAAACAATTTCGATAATTACCTATTACTAGTTTTTATGAATTAAATTTTGAATTATTAGTAGATTTGTATTTATTAATAACTGTATTTATAATAATTGCATTGAGTTAGTTCTTCCTCCTCTGAGCTTGTTTAAAGAAAATATTATTTTGACTGTTAAACTTCTTTTTATTGAGATCGATAAAAATTTTTTTCTAATTATAATTGATTACTTTAAGCTTTAGTTTTATATAAATAGTTCAAAATGATTATACAAATACTGTTTTATATTTTAAAATTTTATTTATTAAAATTATTCATGACTGAATTGCGCTTTATGCTTAATAAATTAAGCATTTTCATGAATTCTAAGAAAATATTAAAAACAAAAATTCTGTATAGTGTAACGATTACAGCTGTTGGCACATTTGAATTAAACTGTAATTTTTTTTTATGTTTATTGAGTAATTTTTTTAAAATTTTCCTTTATTTTGTTCGTAACAAAGAAGTTACGGCCAAAGCCAGACTTGAGTTACTCGGAGGGTTTGATATCTCCCCGATTAAAGGATATGTCGGTCGCAGCAATACGTTTTTTTTGACAAAATTGAAGCGATAGTTATTACTACAATTGAAATAATAATAATGATTAGTCCTATAATAAACCTTACGATTGGAAGTCATATATACTAATTATACTATATAGATAGGTAATCCTCCTCATCAATAAATTGATATTTATTGATGAGGAGGATTATTATAGCACCGCTATAATTGATTATAGCGATGCTATAATAAGTTTTTTTTTGATTGGCAAGGTGAACATGCAAGGAGGATGGGCTGCTCCGTAAAAGATTTCTATAGAAACTGCTGTAATGAAGAGTATAAAGAAATAGTGACCCATCTTTTATGCTCATATCTGGCGCTGGCGAACTCAGCGTAAAAATTTCTTATTTCTTTCGGTGCACTTTGGAATTAGCAAATGAAAATCTTAGCGATTTTAGCCGGTTTTTTGAGAAGTTCCGACTGATTCGAATGTGAGGCAGAAAAGCAGAGATTCGGCGTTATCACAACGAACTTGAGTGTATTCTTCGGGCCGCGTAGAAATATGCAAACATCTACTTTCTTTTATAGCGATTTTGTGATTCTTCACTGCTATTTTTAATTAGAATTTTTACCTATAATTATAGCTCTGAAGGTGTCAATAATTATAGCAAGCAGTTAATAATTATAGTTTTAATAATGATAGAAGGGTCAAAATTATTCTCTTGTCCAAGGAGCCAGTAATTATATAACATGCCAATAATTATAATTTTTGCGGCTCTTTTGTTTCTAAATAAATATATAAAATTTAATAAATTTAATATGAAAATATTATTTGTTTAAAAAAAATATATTTAGATGGCAATAATGTAATTTCATTCGATTGCTGGCAGAATATTTTTTCTTATAGGTGCCAATAGCTGGACACGTTACCCTTATATTAAGTTTTATAAGTATTTAAAATATAAAAATTACTTTTTAACTTTTTTACCTTATTTTATAAATATTTCTATAAAATGTACAACAATTAATAAAATAAATAAATGTAAAACGACATTAAGTAAATATAATTTTCGATTACAGTTTTCATAAAATATATTTGTTAATAGCCATTTTAAATAATTAATATTGAAGAAATTTTAATATAGTTGAGTGAAAGGTAATTATCAAAATTATTTTTTTTAAGTTTCTGATTTAATAATGATATTTTTAAAATAAATAATTATATAATTGTAAAATTATTCATTATATTATTAACAAAAAAAAAAAATGAGAAATAAATTAAAATAAAAAAAAAGTATACATATATAATAATGTTAAAATAACGTTTTAACATAACATATTTTGTTTTAAATAACATTAAGTGTTTTGTTTGTGTGTTGAATTCATTTGTTATTTTTATTTTTGTTTAACAAATTTAATAAAAAATAATATTACATTTATATTATAATATTAACATGATTTTGGATTTATTTTTCATTTATCTACTTATTTATATATAGAATATATATATAATTTCTTTAACAGATTATATTACGAGGAAAGTGGTTTCTGTTTTGAATTAAAATTTACACAAGTATAACAATAATTGAATAATTTTTTGTGTATACAATATGAAAAATTTATATTTGATTTTAAAAAGGATATTTAATATTTTATATGTATATGAATTTGTGTTCTATTTTTTTGGACATAAATAATGTACATATGTATAACATATAAGTACATATTTTACATTTTAACTATATATAAAAAATTTGGAAACAGAATCATAAACAATATTCAGTAATTATATTTAAAAGAAAAAATAACATTATAGAAATAAATATCAATAATAATTAAAAATAAATATAATTTTATGAGAGTTTATGTTTTCTGTTAATAGATGGGAGTACAGGGTCATATAAAAATTTTATATTCGTAAATTTTAAATAAATCATGAGTACTTTAAAAAATTTAGGTTATCATATTAAATAACAGAAAAAAAAGTATCTAGTTCAAAAAGTCATTTATTTTATAAAAACTTATGAAATTTTATGAGTTTAAGATTAAAAAATTATTAATTGTCATGGTCAAGAAATGTCAAGTATTCAATTCTTTGTGGACAAATTATGTTCAATTATTTGTGGACACGGTATTTCAAAATATTGATTCTGTATGTATATTTTTTGTACCTAACGAGAATAGTGGATAATTTCGAAAATATTCAAACGTTGTTCCGCACTAGTTTATAGATATTTGATGCAGATACCCAATATTAATATTAATATTGGTTATATTAATATAATAATAAAAAATATATTAAATTTTCTATTAAAATTATAAATGCAACATATTTAGATTGCATTTCATTCGAAATTTTTATATATGTATTGAAATATTGCAGTCGCACTTATTAATATTATAAAGTGTATTTTTTGTAAAGATATTTTAAAAATTCCACAGCGAATAATGATAAAATTGATTTTTAAATTTTCAAAGTTTTTTTATCGCAATCCAATTATTTCAAATTAATATTTCATATAAATTGTTGAAATGAATGTGTTGGAGTTGACGAATATCAAATGATTTCGAATTGTTCCCTTTATTTTATGTTATACAATGTGCTATAAAAATTGTAAAATAAATTTCATTTAATTTGGGTAGCTGTTTGGATTTCGTTTTCTGTAACGAATTTGTTTTTGTTTTTTTTTTCAATATATAATATTGTATTTTTGGATATTTGATAAAATTGTATCTATATACATTATTCGAATTATTTCACGCAGTGTATCAAGAAAAGAAATTCATTCGGTACTTTCTAATATCTAATTGAACGAAAAAAAAGAAAATGGCATTCCTATTTGAAAAAGGAAAAAAAAATCAAAAAAAAAAAAGCCATTCAAAAGAATTTTAAGCTTTTCGTTTCTATTTTTTTTGTAATTTTTTTTTTTATGAATGCACGTTGTTTACCCTTTTTTTCTTCATCCGGGTTCTCAGGATCAACAACAGAAGATTTCGCTGTATGTAATAAAATAAAAGAAAAAATTTGAAGAATTGAAAAAAAAATATTATTTTCGAAATAAATTTCTCGATATTTTTCTATTTACAAATTTTTAACTAATTTTCACTACTCAATTTTTTCATTTTTCTACATTATTTCCAGGGAACAATAATACTTTTATAATATAATATACTCAAAAATGTAGTGCCATCAAAACGATTATTTAAAATTATATGAAAATATTTATGTAATTTGTGAAAAAAATATGAAAATTTTAATTTTATTGAATTTTAATTTTTGTTGAATAGATAGAAAAACATGACTATTGGATTATTAGGGAACAATTAATTATTCATAAGAATAATTTAGAAATTTTACAACTATTTTCAAAGAAAATTAGTGATATAATTAAACGATTGGAAAAACTGTGGTTTTAAGAAAACTGAATAATTATGAAAATATTATCAATTGAGTATAATTAATAAAGTTTTAAACTATGGTCATTTAAAAATTAAAATTATTATAAGGTGGATTTTCCTAATAAAACATAAAAATTTCCCATAATGAAGGATTATATTTTGTTTTCTATAATTTAATTAATCAGGATTAATTGTTATTAAATAGAATTTGGAAATTAATCATGGAAAAATAGTGAAATATAAAATATACTCTTATATGATTTGTATTGATTCGTATTAGTAATGTGATTAATGCTTTTTATAATACTAATCTAAATTATTAGAGCTTAAAATTAAAGTAAATAAAAATATTGTATGCAAACAAACGAAATTTTATATATTTAAAATTTTTTTAATGAAAAAATTCATTTTAGAAATTGAAGCATACAGCACAATTTTTAATTTTTCAAAGGACGAAAACAAAGAAGAAAGTTAATTACATTGCGATAATTGAAATATTCTTTTGATTTAAACGCTCTTTTTGGTTATTTGTGTGCTTTTGTATGTGTTTTTGTGTATATATTGCAGAACTATTAGTATGTATGTATTACTTCTTTTATTTATACATATATGTATGTATATAGTTTGAAAATAATTTAATTTTTACTGAAATTTAGAAGTAAATTTAATGATTTTTGATTTAATAAAATTTATTCAGAAATTTTATTTAAAATTCTAATTTTTTTTTTTGTAAATAATTTTATGCATATCTCCAAAACCTTAAAACATTTTAAAAATTTCAGATTTTTTAATATTTTAATAATAATATGGTTGTTGTATGTTGAATAATGAAAATGTTATGAATGGTATTTTATTTATTGTTTATGTATTTTGTTGTTTTAAACAAATATTATTTACAGAAATTTAAATCGTGTAAAAATACAAAATTTCAAATAAATAAATAAAGAAAAAAATATATATTAAATACAAGAAGAAACAAAAATAAATCACAAAACAAACTTAAAAATGTTCTAGAATTTTATAAATAAACTTTTTATACATTTTAATATTTAATAATAAAAAAAGAAAAAAATTATAATTCACTGTTATTTACGTAGTTAAAAAAATTAATTAAATATAAATAAAAAAGAATAAATCAAATAAATTTTGAAAAAATTAAATTGTAAAATTTTTTACATAATGAAAATTTTATATTTGCATTTTTTATATAATTTGAACTTAAATTAAAAGAGAAATTTATTTGGCAATATTTAAATATGTGCAAGTACTTAAGTATATATTATACTTATCGAATTATTTAACATTATGTTAATATATATATATATAGAATTTAAAAATGTATAATCTTGTATTTTGAAAATTTTTAAGCCAAGACCCTTTTTAATTATTTAAAAAATGAAATTGCTTTTCTTATAATTCAATTATAATGGGATTTTTACATTTGCATAAAATAAACGATATGAACGAGATAAACGACAATATTAATCGGACAAATGGATCTGATTTAATTAAATTTCCATTCTAAAATTGACGAATTAAGTACTTATTTTCATATTAATTTAAATAGTGTCATTTATATAATATACAAGTATGTAGAATATTACTTTTGAGTGAAAAAATTTTATAATTAAATTCTCACAAAAATTGTTTTTGAACTATATTAAAATTTATCGTTAATCCCAAATCATTTCGCTATTATGACACTATTTTGACAAGTGAGATTTTAATTTTAAATATTACTTAATAAAATCTTATATAATATGGTAATTAAAATTCTCTTTTACTTCAAGCTCATTTTCCCTATAATAAAAATACTGTTCAGTTTTAACTATTAAAAAAAATTAATTTTTTCTTACTTAATCTAAATAATTTTTTTTTTTTCAAATATACTAATTTAATATTATAATTTACATCACAGTTCTCAATACGTGCTAATAAAATTATATTAATTTTTTCATATTAAATTAGTATATTATTGTAAAATATAATAAGGAAAAAATTGAAATAAATATTATATAGAATTATTTAAAATATTTATAATATAATTATAAAAAAATCTTGTATAAATAGTATATAAATTATAATAAAGATGAATTAAAAGAAATTAAATTTGAATATCCCGTAAAATTTATATATTATAATTTTGTTCTTGTAAATAAAAATTCTATAGAAATATCTTTGCAATAATTGTAAAGACATTTGATTGAAATTTTTTTGAAATTTTTATATTATAATTTTTTGTACAAATAAATTTTGATAAAAATTAAATAATTTTGAAAAATATAGGAAAAAATATTAATTACATATGTATATATATAATTAAATTTGTTTGTTAAATTTATATATACGATTGAGATATAAAATATTAGTTATTTAGTATAATATTATATATTTTTTATTCTCCTATTTTAAAATAATTCAAGTAAATTAATTATATATTTATTTAACTAGTTATAATATAATATTGTATAAATAGAATGGTGAAAATAGAAGAGCAATAATTATTTAAAAAAATTACAAAAATATATTATATAAATACAAGAGTTAAGAAATAAAATATGAATAAAATATTGTATATATATTACATATATAATAGGTATATAATGTATGTATATATAAATATATTGAAAATAATGAAAAGAATTGAAATATCAATATTATGTAATAATAAGTAGTTCCCTTAAATGTGTTTTTATTTTTATATCAAAATACTTGAATACTTTTAATATTATTTTATAAAAACATCGAATTAAATACATAATATATGTATACTATATGAAATTAAATATTATGAACAACATCAATATAATTTCCTCTCTTTAAATAATTTATTTTTCATATTAATAAGAATATTTTCAAAACCTACACTTATATTACTTAATTTTATTATATACTATTATGTATTTTGCGAGATTATATTAAATAAAAGAAAAAATTATAATTATATCTTACATTACAAGATAATTACAAATTTATATTAAAATATAAAATATATTATTTATAATAAATTAAAAAAAAAAAAATAAAAAATTCTAAATAATTAATTTTATTTCTGTTCAAATTGAATTATTAAAAAACTAAAAAATAATTTACAGATTTTTTTACTTTTCTTTACAATATTGTAATTTAATAATTTACAAATTAAAAACAGAAAAAAAAATTTCTTGAACTAAAAAAAAAATTTACACTTTTTTTTCAAATTCAAAATATTTAAGTTACTCTTTTTGTTTTTGGTATAAAAGAATTAGATTATAAGAATAAAATCAATAAAATTACCTCCAACCATTTGTGGTTCTCCGATATTTACATAAAATAGTACATCTTTTTCATAACTTCCTTCTTCTAGAATGCCTAGTGGTATAATTTTCCTTTAGAGTCATAGCGAAAAAAAAAACAAAGGAAAAAAAATAGGGAAAAAAATTCTATTAGTAAAATAAATACATAATAAGTAAATAAAAATACAAAAAAAATGTATAAATTTCATATAATCTTTGTATGAATATTATGCATAACGTACACACGCTATATTATATACTTGTATAAAAAATATACAAATAAAAATTACCTATGAGATGAATAATAAAATTATTATAATTTTATATGTGCATATATTTATTATAATACTATGTTGAGTATTTATCCTCATTATAATTCAATTAAAAAGAAACCTAAAGTGGTCAGAACATAACCGATCGCAATGTGTATTTTCTAATTCACATGCTGTGACAATGTTCTTTAGACTCAGACAGTTATTTCAAATTCTAAGGAAACTAATTTATTTTTTTTTAATTAAAGCTCTTAGTGGGTGCTTACTTACGCAGTGAAAATGAATATATTATTTATCGCGCGTTGTACGCATGGAGACCCCTGTCCACATGCGGGATGGCAAGAAAGATTGATCAAAATGGGACTTTAGGAAATCGGATGGATTCATGGTGATGTCTCGGGCGGATATTGACTGGCTAACGGTATTCTACACAGGACACTGGCCGTTGGGGGAGCATGCGGATAAGGATCATCCTTCAACACAACGGCCCAGAAATGGAAAAGAAAGAGACCTTTTTTCACTTTTTCTCTGAGTGTCTAGCTTTAGGCGGAGTGAGATTGATTATGTAAGACGGAGCATGTGTAACGGGGCCGGACGAAATATCGAAGATTAGGCCATCTATAATAGAACTCTCAATGACGGCTTGCAGATCACGGTGTAGGTCCTCGTAAAACGATAAACGAATGGTAGTAAAACGGTAGTAAAACATCATTTGTGCTAATTGGTTATCCTGCCAGCCAGAAATTTACTTTCTGCGATGTGATTTCCCATAAAAGCCTATAAGTTAATTTCATAAGCATAAAGAAGTCTTATGTTAGATTTTAGTAATTAATAGTAAATATTTAGCCTCAATAATTAAGAAAAATTTATTATTTTTTCATTGTTTCAACAAACAAATTTGAAATATTAAAATTTATATTATTTGATTATATCTCTATATAGTGGCAAAAATGTGAATTCCATGCACAATAAAGGTTTAGTTGCTGAAAATCTAACATTACCACAAAAGCACATGAATCCGTCACAAGTAATATCAGATACAAATTATGATACAAATCAATTTGGCCGAAACCGAAATACCGATTGAACAGCCAAACAGACCGCTACATAGATATACCGGTAGACTGATCGACTAAACCTTTCTAAAAATAGTATATTTATTTACTTTTCTCTATCACAGAGAAATGCATATCTATATAAAACTATCGATAACTAAAATTTGTTGCCATCACAATGCTTCCCTTATTATGCAACACACTCAGTAAGAAAGCATAAAATATATGAAGATCAAAAATAGCATTGGGACAACAACAATATTATTACACCTGATTAAAGATAAACTGGTGGGTATATTTTGTATAAGTTATCCTCTAATAATTTTTTTCTTTCTCTCACATAATGGTCATTTTATATTTTAAAAAGAATAATAATTTATTTTGATATTCAATAAATTTTGAAAAAGAACATAATATGAAAATGGTGTTACAATAAACGCTTAAATAATGACAGACCACTACTGACATTATAGTAAATGATTGTAAGTGATTCCCAATGGAAACAAGACACACAATTTTGAATTTACATAGTTGAAATTAAGTTTCACAATAGTAAATTCACTATTACACATTTTTTTCGTTAAAAAATTATTTACATTTGTAATTAAACATTTTCATTAAAAAAATAAAATAAAAACAATAATATTAAAATTGAAATATAGTGCAAGGTAAAAGTATGAGAAGGAAAAGAAAAATTAATTATTTTAAAGTTTTTAACATTCTTTTAAATATTTATTTAAAAAATTCATTACTTTACATTTTCAATGAAGAAATAAATAAGCAATAAAAATAAAAAATAACAAAAAAAATAAATGAAAATTTTAATTATCTTTCAGTTGTCAGCATTTTCTTTCTACTTTTATTTAATTTAAAATGATTTTTCATTTTATTTTTTTTTTTTTATAATTTTGCATTTTTATTTTACGCAAAATAAAATTATATATATACAGTAGCGACTATATTCGTCGTTTAAATCTTAAAATGAATGTTCTTCTTTCACTTCCATTTTGTTAAAATAATTTTTGCATATAAAATTCTTTTTATTTTTTTTTAATTCCAGATTCCAGCCAGATTCATTAAGTTAATTTACATAATAATTTTTTCTAACTATGGATATATAAGTATAACAGTATAACGTTATTAAGAATTGTGTGTAAAGTAAAACGGTTATATAAAATGTAATTGTTAAAAAAGGAACCAAAAAAAAAATGAAATGAGATTTTCATATTTTCTTTTTTTTTTTTATTTTTCTTGCAAATTTATATTTACAGTATAAATATAGAATTATTTAAGTTGTTTGTATTTACTAAATAAATATGTACATAATAACGAGTATAGTGTAAGTGTAAATGTGTGCTAAGAAACTTTAATGTCTTTATATTATAAAAGATGAAAAAATCGAAAATGGAGACGCGATGTGAAAAAGTAATGGTTTAGAAATAATGAGGAGTAAAAAAGAAAATACTTAATTTTTTTTTGGTTAAGTTTATGAAAAAAATACCAAGTTAAATTTAGAAATAACTGAACTTGTTAATACAGTTATATAAAAAACGGTGGTTTCAAATCATTTATATAAATAAACTTAATTGCTATGATTATTTTCTAAGAGAGCAAAGAAATACAAGAAACGAAAAAAAAATTTTAATATAAAAAAAATATTTGTCTTTAAATTTTCTCTCTCGTTTTTTGTACGTTCAACTTTTTTTTTTTGAAAAAAAAATCAAAAATTTCATTTTGTTTTTTATTTTGTTTGTGTACGGCTTAATTATCATTTGCTCCTTTCAAGTTTCGCTTTATATTTTTCTCTTATATTATTATTTTTTTTTGTTTTTTTTTTTTTTTTGTTTTCATAATATATAATTTAAAGAACAACTTGTTATAAATTATAAACAATAAAAAACAAACTTAAAGTGTTCTAATTTTTAATGTTATAATTTTTAATTTATTAAGATGAAAATTTATAAGGAAAATTTTTTAACAGTATACAGAGTAGAGGTGCAGAGTATACAAAATAACAAATACAAAAAAAAATAAAATGAAAAATTTATATTATAAAGGTTGATTTAAGAAACGGCAATAGAAAAATTATGAAAGTATAAAGAGGAAAAATTAATGGCTCCTAAATATTATATCATACATAAACTTTAAATAAGGTGCAAAAGGACCTTTACAAGTAATGCAAGTTTACTTGCGTATTATTATTTTAAACTTTAAAAGGATGAAATTTTATTTCGTTATCAAATTTATTTCTTGTTGATATTTTTTCTAGTAACAGGTAAAAATTGCATAACTTCAGGCGGATGTGTTAAAATCGTGAGGTTTATTCTCAAGAACCGTATCAGTTTGCTTAGTGATGTTTCTCAGTAATAGTTCCAGCGACAGTGATTATTATCAAAAAAAAATTAAAAATAAAAAACATTTTATACAAATGATGCGTGTCTACAATAAACTTGCCCCAATTGAGCCCCAATTTGTTTTCTCATTCTTACATGAAGTTAGTTTCACACGCATACGTTCAATCACTTGAACAGAATCACTTGAAATTGTATTGAAAAATATTGAAATTAACCAGAATTAATAAAGAGAATAAATTTAATATTTTATAGACTAATTATTTCAGAATCGTTAAAATAAAGGTTGAAATATAACTGAATTAAACGATGGGGCGAAATTTGGTGTTCACGATTTGTTATTTGTATCGATTTCACTTTCATAATTAAAAGTAAAATATTGAATTGTGTTATACACAATAAAGGAATACGCCCGGTGAACATGAGAACAGATATGAGAATTCTCTTGCTATCTAACGGTGCAACACTAGATTTACCATATAGCATCATTTCTCTAAATATACTATATTGTTGTTAGAAAGAAGAAGAAAGTTACCAAAGAAAAAAGACTTAATGAAATTGTAGTGTTTTAATAATTTACTGCCAATCTAGGATATCTTCATAAATTGTGACTCCGAAGTGACTTGAAAACGCAACCTTCTGAGTTTTATTAGAATCGAATAAAACTTATTAATACTGCAAAAACAAGTTACAAAATATTTTACATTTAATTTTATTAAATGAAGTAAAATTAATTTTGCAAATAATTTTAAAATTCTTTAAATTTTTTCATATTAAAATTCAATTTTTATGAGTAAAGTAAACCGGTGTCAATTAATTTACACTCTGTAAAGCGTAAATAAAATAATAAAATTACATATGTTTATATGTATGAATGATTAGATATTAAAGAGAAAAGAGATAAACAAAAAAAAAAAATACTTGCTTTTTATGAAAAAACTTTCAAAAATTTATAAATTTTTTATTTTGTTATTACTCGTAAAAATGATTGTTTTTTTCTTAAAAGTTTTACTACGATACTGTTGTATCGTAAATAAAAATATAAATTTCTCAACTGTGTCTTGGAAGCAACAACTTTTTTTTTTAATTCTGCTTTTGTTTTTTATTATTTTTCGTCCTTTTTATCCAGATTGAGGTGAAAAAGTTGTAATTTTCAACGAAAATTTTTTACATATTTCTTCATCTTACAGCGTTAACTATGAAAATTATAGGCTATATAATTTTTTATATATTGCAATATACGATATACGCAACTATATTTTGAATATATAAAGATTTGAAATTTTCCGCTTGGGATTTTTCTTTTTACACAATTTATTTGAATGCTTACATGTATACGTGTGTTAAGATGATTTTCATTTATGTCTGCTATAAATATAATAAGTATATAGGGTGATTGTATACGTACA